GATACGGTCCCGAAGCGTGCGGCACTCCTCCGTGGTGTGACTGTGGTTCCTGTGGTACCGACAGTGTTTGGACTTGTCGGCACTGTTGGGAGTGTGACCTAGTGGTGGAAGGGCGAGTAGGTTGCTGTTGCTGGCTTCCTCCAAGATGTGGACTCTGGGTGCGTTCAAGGGAGTGTAGAAGTCATATCTCCCCCCTCTGCTTGCCCTAGTCGACTTCTTGAACTAGCTGTCGTTATTGACTTTGATTTTATCCTTGTGCCCCTGTTTTGGCTTCGCTGGTCCTTTTTTGCGAACCTGGTCACGGAAAGCGGAGTGTTCCTCCATCTGGATATAGCCCGCCGCGCGCCCGCGAAGCTCGTCCATGTCGCGAGGAGACTCACGACATAGGCTGTCAACGAATGGTCCGGGCTTGAGTGCCATAAGCATTGCATGCACGGTGACCTCGGGGTTCAGATTTCTGATCTGAACCGAGGTGGCGGCAAATCGCTCCATGAACGCCCGGAGTGGTTCGTCGTCGTTTTTCCTGAGACTGGCCAGGGCGGCTGAAGTCACATGGTGAGGTCGGCTCGTCGCATACTGCGCTATGAACCTTCTGACTAGGGTGCCGAAACTATCAATGGACTCGGCAGGCAGCTGGGTATACCAGTTGAGCGCGGCCCCCTTGAGCGAGGTTGGAAAAACCCTACACAAGATAGCGTCATTGTTAGTGTAGAGGTTTACCTATGTTGTATACAGGTCGATGTGCTCATCTGGGTCCGTCGTGTCATCATAGCGATCGAGGTGGAGAGGCTTCCACCCATGAGGGAGTGGTGTCTCCATGATGCCATCCACAAAAGGGTGGCGGCGGAAGGTTGCCTGATCCCCTGGGACATGAGTAGGGGCCTTGCTGACTTCATGGGCCGACTTGTGCGTCGGTGCATGAGACCGATGCGTGGCAGGTCGTTGAGTCGGTGCCCTAGTCGCGGTCCGGGGTTGAGAGACTGAGTGCTCCTCCTCCTCATTGTGGTTGCTCGTATGAGGAGGATGGTCAGAGTGCCGCCGAGGGAGTTGGGCGCAAATCCGCTCGTTTTTCGCGCGTAGCGCCGCTAGGTCAGCCTCATTGGCGGTCCGCATTGCGGCTAGGTCGATTTCGTGCTTGGCGTGCATGTTCTGCAGATCGGCGTCGTGTTGTTGCCGCATCTGTTCGACCTGATCGATCAACCTCCTCAATGCTGCTTCGCTATCCATGGCAGATGGTTGATCTAGGTCGTGTGTTGCGCGTTTGCTATGGCTTCTGGTGCAAACCATAAGCGTGGCTGATAAGAGCTGTCTTGATCGGCCCCACGGTGGGCGCTAAATGTTCTTACTATATATATATATATATATATATATTGAATAAAATAATGTATTTCTTTTAGAGAGGGTGTATTTTTGTTTTCTAAAAAAAAATCTATATTTATTTTAAAGAAAACCAATTAAATTGAACCAAATCAACCCATCATTGATTGGTTTGACTTGGTTCGAATTGTAATTTTTTTTAAATTAATCCAAATCAAATCATTCAAAATTGATTAGTTCGGACTTTAATTTATTTTATGAACCAAATTGGTCCATGAACATCCTATTAAAAAAGATGAAAAATATTTTAAAAATTAATTTAATTTTCAACAAATACTTTTATCTAATTATAGTTGTGTTGTATAATAGGATTATTAACTAAGATAAGATATGATGTGATTAGATAACGGATCTCATCTAGGGCGAGATCCCCTAAGATCGGTTATGATCTATTTAAGTGCCGAGCTGACGTCGTACAATGCGCGTCCGAGGTCATTCTCCGCTGCAATGCCGAGCTCGAGCTCGGCGTGGCGGTACAGATAGTACAACTTTAATTTCATATTTTTTACATTTTTCATTCTCACTTGAATGTTATTTACACTCTTTTAAAAATAAGTTTATATATATATATATATAAAAGATAAAATTATATCTAAAATAAGGTTTGTTTAAGTGGTTTCGGATTTTGTGGTCATTGAAAGAATGAGTGGTAGTGTTTAAGGGGTGTGGTGGGATGAGAAATGGATTGGGGAGGGAGATGTGAGATATGGAGATGCTTTATGGAATCATGGATGGATGAGGTTGACCCACCATTAATGTAGTATAGTGTCTTGCTAGATGGTTGTTTTCCATTTTCACATGTACCTGTCAACATCCTCTTCCTTCAATTATAAAACAATGGCTTTCCCTTGCAAAAAAAAAAAAAAACAAAGAAGAAGAAACATTTAAGAGAAGACAAAACCTAGATGTATGAGTTTTTGTTCCTATTTTATTTTAATCAGAATGGAAGTTTTGCATATGTACAATGTGATACAGATTTTATTTAAATTAAATATAAGTATAAATAACTTATGTGAAATTCTAATTTTGATTAAAAAGTATATTTAGTTCTTTTTAATAAAAATGCTTAAAAACGTGTTAGAACATGTTTAGCCCTTTTTCTCACTCATGGTTTTCTTGTGTTATTTTTTATTATTATTTCATTTATTCCCCGGTTTGTGAAAAAAGTTTCGTAGTATATAAATTTTTTTATAAGTCTTGAGTAATTTTCTATATCGAGATTAAGACGTGGTGGATGCTTTATTTCTTTTCCCTAGTCAAGATATGATGAATTCATTGTAATTAGTGGATAGAGTTTTTAATTTGTGGGCTATAAATATGAAAGGGAGTAAGGAACTTGTACTTTCGAAACGAAGATGAGAAAGCTTTATCTTGAAGGCAGACATAATATCATAAGATTCATAACATGATTTTGTATAAAAACTAAAAGCATAATTGTACACTAAAATTTCCGCATACTATTTTTATCCTTCATAGGTTTATTCGAATAGTTAGTGACTAGCACTTCTTTTGTCCCCTAACACGTCTACGGTCTAATATAATTTTTTTTATGTAATTTTTTATATATGTAATTAAGAAATATATTTTATAATTTTATTATTTTTAGTTTATGTGGATCAATGGAAGTCGAAGTTGAGATAACTCTAAATTAAGTTATAAATGATATAGTTTGAGTATATAAGAGTTGGTCTGATGAGAGTTGATATTAGGGGTGAACAAAATGAACTAAACTGAAATAAATTTATAAAAAGTATATCGAACTTAAAAGTAATTTGTCTAAATTGTAGTGTATATTATTTTAAATGAACTGAACTATTTTATTATTTCGTATCATTGAATTGAACTAAATCGCACTATAAAAACTTGAATTGAAATGTAATTCAAATTACAACAAGTAAGAGTTCAACGGTTGAGATTAACTTTTCTTACATCAAGGAAGCTTTTCTCAAGATGAAATGAAGAAAACAAGCTTTTAGACAATTCTTTCTTATGGAGAACAAGGAAGACGAACTAGAAAGTTCAAACTAAGTGATTTACCTTGAGTTTGGGTAGAACAAGAAAAATAGTTATAGAGAAGAAAGAATAATGAAGAAGATGAAGAGAAAAGATTTTTCTCCCTCTGTCGATTTAGCAAACCAATGCCTTAAGCCACTCAGCCATACCTCCAAGTTGTTGATCGGAATTGGATGTGCGATTGGTTGCCCGAAGGGCTATCTGATCCGATCAAGAAAGATTGAGCCGAATACAATACAAAGACACTTATTGTATCTATCCATATATCTATCTATATATCTATATATAGATAGATATATTAATGTATCTTTTTTTCGTGTTGAAATAGAAACGTAGTAAGCAGACAATATTTTACGAAAAAAGTTAAGTTATAACAATTTCTAAGAGAAAATGGCTATTTCGTTTTTCTATGTGAATTTCACATAATAAATAGGGGGGTGCTCTATTTTCTTATTATTTTATTTATTTATTTCTATATTAAATTTATATATATATATTTCTCATTTTTTTTTAAGTTTTTAGTTTAGAATATAATCAGAAGCAGTAGATACAATTTAGTAATTACCGTTTTTTGTTCGATTTTTGTTCTATTAATTGTAATTAAACTCGGCCCAATCTTTTCCTAGAAAGAAAGATTGAGCCGAATACAATACAAAGACACTTATTGTATCTATCCATATATCTATCTATATATCTATATATAGATAGATATATTAATGTATCTTTTTTTCGTGTTGAAATAGAAACGTAGTAAGCAGACAATATTTTACGAAAAAAGTTAAGTTATAACAATTTCTAAGAGAAAATGACTATTTCGTTTTTCTATGTGAATTTCACATAATAAATAGGGGGTGCTCTATTTTCTTATTATTTTATTTATTTATTTCTATATTAAATTTATATATATATTTCTCATTTTTTTTTAAGTTTTTAGTTTAGAATATAATCCATGTAGCTAGAAGGAAGAATGAGAATAGAGAGGTTAGAGGGTTTGACTTGAGTTGAAGGGGTAAGATAAGGTTTGGATAAATTTAAGCCGAATAATGGATAGTCATTACTTTTTTTGTTTTGTTATAGATTTTAAATCTTCCTCTTTATTTTAAACTCACAAGACTATAAAAATAATTAAGAGAAAGAGAAGAGTTAAAATATTTTAATTGAGTTTTTTTTTTTTAAATTTAGGTGTAATAAAGGTGGGTCAACCCATTATTTTTAATTGACAAACTCACTACAGTGGTTTAACATATTATTAAATGAGATAAATTACATTTTTCAATCCATTTTGCTTGATAAACTAATTTGTCTCTTCTTTCTTTAAGTGAATTGACTTATTTTACAACTCCTAATTATATATAATGAATTTATTGTTTTAATAAATCATTTTTGTTGAAAAATCTAATTAATCATATTGAATATATTTATTATTATTATTATTTATTTATTTATAAAACTTGAGTTTGAGTTTTTATTTAAAGAAATTGAATTGTGATAATATATATAATAACTATCAAACTCATATAAGTATAGTAAAAAAAATCATTAAAATACTATATAATAAAAAAAAATCATATTTTGAAATACTATATTACAAAATCATTGAAATTTAAAAACAGAAAAGAAAAAAAAAACGGTGCGTGAACCGTACCGGTGAAGCGTGGTGGAGGAGACTGAAAAGAGAAGAAGAACGAGGGAGTAGGGAGATCTGCCTCTGATCGCAATTTCCGATTGCAATTTGCAAATTGCGATTTCTCTTAAAACCAGAGCTCTACGGCGTGTGCGATTCGTTCGAAACGAATGAAATTTTAGCTCAATTCCACGCTCTCACGCTCTCTCGGGACTCTGTATTTTGTTCGAAGAAAGTCACGTGGTTTGTTACCTTCCGTTCAAGCGGATAAAGAAATTAGGAAATGGCTACGGTTGATGTTATCAAATCTTGCATCGATTCCATTAGACAGGTAGCACAAGCCTTCTGAAGTAGAATGTTCGATTCATTCAGTTTTATGTCCATTTTAGCTTTCGCCGAATGATTCCCTAGGGCTCTGCGATGATTTAATTTGAATAATCTTAGTTTCACAAAATTAAGAATCCATTGGATATGAGTATAATGGAGGAATATTGAGATACCGGCTTTGTCGCTTTGATGATGTATGTATCCTTTTTACTGGGATGGTTTATGTGCTTCACTAGCCAAATTCAACAATGGGAGAGATTGGATGTAGCTTGGGTTTATATTAGTGTTCCTAGACCCTAGATAAACCTTGAGCAACCATTTTTAGGTGAAGAGCTATGACTTAGGTTCAGTTTAATGTGATTTAGCAAGTTATTTTGGCCTTAAAAGAGTTATGGTATGAATTTGGAGCAATGTTTTAAATTCTGGTTGTGGTTGCGGTCGCAAATTTGTCAATATACTCAATATTGCGGGAAATTGTGATAGATGCGGCTGCAATTGTGGTTGCGATCACATCGCAGTGACCCCATTAAGAGCCATGATTCTTAAATTTGCAAAATTAAGAATATTAGTATTGTGGTTGCGGGTATGATGTGGCTAAAATCATGGTTGTGGACTGTTTTTTAAAACCTTATCTGGGAAAAGCTAAAAGTTGTCACAGAACTAATTCTATGTTGAGATTGGAAGAAGTGATATTGGGTATGTTTGTCTGGCTCTGGGGAAGATAGCTTCTCGATGCTTTACTGTTGGGTTTCAGCTTAATCTTTATTTATAATCTTAATTTTGTACTTGTAACGGAGTAGCTCTTTATTTTTCTTAACATTAAATAAAGTTCTTCGTTTGTGGGTTTGTGATCAATATAGTTGCTGTTAGCCATCTTATGTTGCACATATGAATTTGAATTTTCTTCTGAAAATATTACCTGGTTGGTTATACTTGTTACAACAACTATGTGATACTTTTCATTTATTTTTTTCATGAATAGTAGTCATGCTCTATTTTATTTTTCCAGATATCAGAGCATATTCAAGGCGCTATTGTTTATTTAGATGCTGGATCAGTGGAGAGTTTCCAACTTATTGGGGCATATCCAGTGCTTCTTGAACTTGGAGCACGGGCTATTTGCAGTTTGGAAAACATGTCTGCACTTGATGCGGTAAGTGCTGGTTTCATATTCAATTGTTGAGTTGTCTTTCTGTGCTTCTGTGAGCTGCTAAGATTTGATTATCACCTCATTGAGTGATTTGCTTATTAAAAAAATTGAGATATTACTATTTTCCTGTTTTTGAAAAATATTATATGGCTTGCTATGACATGGAGTGAATATTTGTTGATTATCTGAGGGTTGAATTTTCACTTTATGGATACTTTCCTGTAGCCAAAGTTTGTAGCCCATTAATTTTGAGGGTGGTCTGATGGTGAATATCTGTGATTCACCTAGTAATAATTATCAAATGTGTGGTGTTTAGAATTTTGCTTTGAACTTTTTATATATAGAACTGAAAATATTATTAAATTAATAATTCTGAATTCTTTTATTTAATTATAACTGTTACTTAATTGCTAGTAAAATCTTCCAAGGCTTTCTAAACTTGAATTTTAAAATCCTTCTTGCTTCTTCTCGTTGTTATGGGGAACTGTTAATACCCTATTGTCATTTGTCAATGTTGTATTCCTGCATTCAATGGGTCTAGTCCTTTTGTGATCAAATGGTCTGAATGTCTCCAAGTGTTTGGATAATAGGAAGGTCTGTTTGAGTAGTTAGATTACCCTTATTCAGACAAGCTTGTCCAGTATTCCCTTCATTACATTTTCCTCACTTTGATACATGTGGGACTGGCATTTTGAAGTATTTTCTCTGGTCTTTCATGGCCAAGCAAAGTAGCAGAGACCATTTCATCAGTTGGGAGGTTTGTGGATAACCTCAGATTGAGGTATGGGTTGAGTTTTGATAATCTGATATGCAGAAGCACCACTTTGGCAGCTCAATGGCTATTGTGTATTTGTATGTTGAGAAATGCCTGTTTGCAAATTGCAATGGTGTCTCTTTACGCATAAAACTATTATGGGATAAATTGTATTTGTGGCCTCTTGGGTGCTCATTTCATGATTGCTTTGAGAATCTCTCTATTAATGATATACAAGGAGATGGGATTGCTTTGTTGCATGTTTAAGACTTTGAGCTGCTTTGATTCCTTATACTACCCCAGATTAGCCTCTTTACTTTCTTTTACTAAAATTTTCTTCTATTTTATAAAAATATTGTAATTCATGCATATAACATGAAATGTAAAAATTATACCTTAAATATAGTCATGTCACATTGCAGCTGTAGTGTTTTCATTCTGTGAGTGAATGGAGGCATATAATGCATGTTTGCTGAATGGAGCCTGTATGATGCATTAAGCTATTTATTTTTCTCTATAAAGATGTGAACTCTTCAAGCCAAAATATGAAAGGTCATATTTTATGTTTTCTCTTGAGATCCAAATTCCCATTCTTTAGACATTATTTTCTTAATATTATCTTCAGAGACAGAGGGAGGGAGGGGGTGTCTTGTTGGGGTCATGGTTACCTGCATCTTTTATGTGTATTTAAATCACCATAAAGATTATTTTGTAGTCCAGTGGCCCCTCAAATATATGTATAATTTCTGTATCTATCTTATCTAATTCTTTTGTTATGTACTATTATTGTACTCAATAGTCGATACTCAATACAATTACTAAGGGGGTTAAACTCGGTTGAATAGTGTGTATGAGGTGTTATAAACCTTTTGGTATCAAGTTCAATTCATATGGATTAAAAAAAAAATAGTCAATACAATTATATTGTTTTATTTGTAAAAAATATTATTTATGTATTACATTTCTTGCATATGTTATGCATGTGAAAATTTAAATTTTCTTTATCAAGTCATGCCTTTTGTTTTTAGCTTTAAATCCCCTTGAGGCAAAGTTCTGACTCCACCTGTGATTATCTTGATCTCCAAAATTCACATACATCTTGTTTGAACATACAAAAGTTTTAAGTTTTGATGTTTGCAGATAATGATGTCATAGAATTTGTTTTCTGTCCTTTCCATGTTTCCATCCTTTTGCTTAGTAAATTTATAGTTGATGCTGTAATGCTGTATGTAACCAGGTGTGTATATACTTTTCATTAGCTGGCTCAGATTTCTGTATGTTTCCAATGTGTTTGTACTATAATAGTCTATGACTACTTTGAGGTAAGCCACATGGATCATGATCTACTTTTATTGATGGTTTCATGTCTAGGTGGTTGATTGGAACTCACAATATGATCCTGCAAGGAAACTTGTGGTTATCACTTCAAGTCTACTAAGTAATGCGCACCGGTATATTTTACGTTGCCTGAGCACACATCAAGTTGTTCGTCATTGCATTATATTTACATCTATCTCAGAGGTGCTTATTTGTAATTGTCTCATTTTTCAATTTCATTGCTTCGCTAGACACACACACATTTTATTGTTCCATGTTTCATAAACTTAATATTGGCTTACCCATCTATTGAAAAAAATATGGTTTTAGCTATGGATTTGAACTAGTCATTTTTTCTCCTTCTTCTAGATGCCTGAAATAATAGTTTAATTTTTATCTACTTACAACTTACAAACCATACTACACATTTTTTTCCTTTTTTTGTAAAAATTTCATCTGGATGAAAGCAGTGTTTTTTCAAAAAGAGGTTAGCTTTATATGTAAATTAGAAATGGAGCTTGATCATCTTTTATTATTGTTATTATTGTTATTATTATTATTATTGTTATGTTTTAATTTAAACATGTCATTCTAGTATCAATTTTTTCCCCATAACATATTTGACACTTGACAGTTTTAAAGAATAACACATTAGCTTGGCCTGTACTATAATTACTCCTTTTCTTTCTTCACTATAGTAATAGGTATCAGTTTTTGAAGAATGAATTTTAGTTGCACCTTAATCCATCGCTATTTGCTAGCATGCAAATCTTAGTATAACATGAGTAGTTGGTTAGTTGCAACCCCAGTAATAGACTGATAGTATTGGTGGTGTTATGAAGTAAAATTGGTTTCCAAGCTGTTGAAAAAGAAATGTTGTTATAGTAGAAATAGAAAGAGAATTTATCAGCCATTGCATAATAGTTTGGTCTGTCTCTAGTTCATTTAGACATAAAATGTCGTATGAATAAATTAGAAGGTCATAAGAAGATGAGGCGAATTATTTAATTAACAATAATTTCTTCAGTTCTAAAATAATGTCAGTCTGGATAGCAGAGTTATTTTGGCTTGAGTAAAGACATGAACTCATTATTTATCACCAATGATCAACATAAGGATGAAATTATTTTATCTATAAATGTGATGTTAGGGTAGCAATTTTAGCTATTTTGTTCCAATACCTATTTCCCAACCTTTTGTTCGAAAATTCTAATACTAGTTAAAATGCAGACAGCCCACTCAGCATTTCCTGATTCACCTCTGGGGCCAGATGCATATCATGAATATGAATCCTTACTAGTTCAAGATTATGAAGAACTAGTTAAGAAATCGGGGACAAAACCTGGACAGGCAAAACTTAACTTTGAAGATGGAGGACACTCACAGTTTCCTTCCGGTGGAGAGGATGTTCCTAATCTTGAAGCTAGTTCAAGTGGAAGAGACATTTATGAGCATAATCCATTAGACTTCGTTGAAGATGCAGTGCTGAAATTGGTTGTTTCTGTTCATCATTTTCCCATGATTATATGTCCCATTTCACCAAGAGTATTTGTTCTACCTTCAGAAGGGTTGGTGGCTGAAGCATACTTATCCTCTGAGCATGAAGATTTCATTAGTCCTGGTTTGCCTCCCTTAAGTACTGGCATGCTCTCTGATGCCGATGATGTGCCTTCAGGGGCTACCCTTACTGCACACTTTCTATACCATTTGGCTGCCAAGGTAACAAGTGATGTGCATTCTTTAGCTGAAATGGGTGCATACTTATAATGGTTTTATTTCAGGATTTTTGTTTTAATTTCTCAGGATTCTAGTATTGTGTTAGTGTATTGCATATACTTAATGTTAGGTTCCATTGACCACCATATTAGATCTGTGATAGAAATGCTGCGTGCCATATCATACTGTTTTGCCAGGGTGCATGTTAGGAACCCAATTAAGGTAAACTGAACAACTAATCAACTATATTATTGGTTGAAAATATAAGAAGTATTACAAGATAAACCCTTGTAATCCCAAAGCAAAAGCTCCTCAGAGAAGAAATTCCCTCTCTTCCCAAGTCAGAGCATACACTCTAGACTCTCCATTGAAAATACAAAACTGCCCACTCCTTTCCTTCTCCCCTCCCTACCTATATAACATATTCCATTATCTTTTTTTTTTCCTCTCTCCTTAACTAACTCTCCCTCTTTTCCCACCTAATCTGATTCTAAGTGGGCCTTGTATATTGGGCTTGTGGTAGAGAACCTATCGGTGCACATATTTACTTTTTGAAAAATATTCCTTGAATAAAACTTTAATAGTAAGAGTGTTGCCCATTAAAATAGATCTTGCTCTGAATGTACTTTTCAAAAGCTTGGTATTTAATCAAACACATTGATGTTGTTTGATTCATGTTGCCAACCCCATTAAGGGGAGAAAAGGCTTTGTGCTTTATTGAGAGTTTATTGTTATGAACCTTCACGTAGGATCAAGCCTTGAGGCCTAGACACGGAACAATCCTTATTGCAACTAATGACAGCTCCCCTCCTTAGACTAATACAAGTTTTGTGAAAATTATTTCTCATTGATAATATTTTATTCAAGTCTGCCCTTTATAAAGGCTACAAAGATATCCCTATTTAATAGAATCATAACTAAGAATTATCCTAATTGATAAAATAGAAAATAAAGAGATCCTGTTTAGTAGGATCATATCAAACAATTTTCCTAATTAATAAAATAAGGATCCAAATCTAACCAAGATAGGAGAAGATGAAGAAAAAAGATAAACTGAAACAAATCAATATTTAAATTTAGAGATATGATAATCCTAATTAGTAGTCCACATCATTTTCTGATTTTCCAGTAGTGACAGTATCTTTTGTCTTGTTTGTTGTTTGTTCTTTAATTTGTTACCTTGATCATTAATTCTTTTGTTTATGATATAGATGGACTTGAAAATGGAAATTTTCTCCCTTGGTGATATATCAAAAACTGTGGGAAAACTTTTGACAGACATGTCAAGTCTTTATGACGTAGGCCGCCGTAAACGATCAGCAGGGCTGTTACTCATTGATCGTACACTTGATCTTCTCACTCCTTGCTGTCACGGGGACTCACTTGTTGACCGTATGTTTTCTTCTTTGCCCCGTAGAAGTAGAACGGTTTCCCATGCCCAAATTAAAGGTTCAGGAAGCCAACTCAAACTTGGTTCTTCCTACCTGCAACGTTCTCCTTTAGATGTTCAGATACCACTTGCAGAGATCCTTAATGAAAATGATTGGAAAATAGACAATTTTCGGCTTTTAGAAAGCATTGAAGCTTTTTTGTGTGGGTGGAATTCGGGTAATTCTGATTCTCAGATTGCAGGCTTGATTAACCTTAGCCAGAAAATTCATGACAAGCCTAGTCACTCTGATTTAGAGAAACTTACCGGGTCCTTTGTCTCCTCTGAAAATTTCCGCGGGATGCCATTATTGGAGGCTATACTAGATAGAAGAACAAAAGATGGGGCTTTACTGGTAAAGAAGTGGCTACAAGAAACTCTGCGCAAGGAAAATCTCACTGTGAATGTGAAGTCTCGTCCTGGTCTTGTTACAAGACAAGAGTTGCAAGCTATGATCAAAGCTTTGTCGAGGAGCCAATCATCTTTGTTAAGGAACAAAGGAATTATCCAATTAGCTTCAGCTACGATATTAGCTCTTGAGGAATCAAATTATGCCAAATGGGATGCATTTAGCAGTGCAGAGAAAATTTTGAGTGTAAGTTCTGGAGAAACAAGTCAAAGTCTTGCCATGCAAATTGGTGATCTCATCAATAAGAGTGCTTTGTTGGGATCACATGTAAATGAAGGGAAAAGGGAGACCTCAAAGGGGTTACTTTCTTTGCAAGATGCTTTGCTGCTGATGATTGTTGGGTATATATTGGCTGGCGAGAATTTTCCAACATCTGGTTCTGACGGGCCATTTTCTTGGCAAGAGGAACATTTGTTAAAAGAAGCTGTTGTAGATGCTCTTCTTGAGAATCCATCAGTAGCAAATCTCAAGTTTTTAGATGGACTAAGGGAAGAGCTTGAAACTAATGTAAACAAGTTAAAATCAGAGAAAACTACTGAAGATCCTTCAGAACTAGATATTGATGATTTTGATGATGATCAGTGGGGCAAATGGGGTGAGGAAGATGGTGACGATGACAATAAAAATGAACAAGTGTATGGTGATGCACAACTGAAGTTGGAGTTGCGTGATAGGGTTGATAACCTTTTCAAATTTCTTCATAAGTTATCTGATCTGAAAAGAAAGAATATACCATTGAGGGATGGATCATTGACCACGGAAGCTAATTTTGATGAAGATAGAAAAGGTTTACTTTATAAGCTACTAACAAGGGTGTTGGGAAAGTCCGATGTGCCTGGGTTAGAATATCATTCTTCCACCGTGGGGCGCTTGTTTAAGAGTGGGTTTGGAAGATTTGGCCTTGGTCAGGTAATTATGGTTTCTTAACTTATGGCTATGCAGGACGTTGCTTTACAGCGTGTTTGTTTTCACGTTTTAAAAGTGAAAAATCACGTTTAACGTGAAGCTATACGTTGTAGTTTCCACGTTAAACGTGATTTTTCACGTTTAAAACGTGAAAACAAACACGCACTTAGTAGTCCAATTCAATTATGCTAATCGTTCCTTGTTTTTTTTTTCACCCTTTGCTCTATTCTTCCTTGAATACAAATGCTGCAGGCCAAACCAAGTCTTGCCGATCAAAACGTCATATTGGTTTTTGTTATTGGGGGCATTAATGGACTCGAGGTGAAATTCTTGAATACCTTTTTCTCCTCTATTCCTGTTATTATTCCCCTTTGTCTGTGAGTAACAATATGGACATGGTACTGCCAGTAAAGTTTAATAATATGATAACTATTCTATAAATGATGAGACATTGGGTGTCTTTTTTCTTTATACATAAATAACCCTTTTCGTGTTTCATTTAAAACCTGATCCTTGATGAGTATGGAACTGTAACCTGACACAACTTTTTACTTCTGCTGTCACTGCCACATAGGTGCGTGAAGCTCATGAGGCATTGGCTGAAAGTGGAAGACCCGATATAGAGTTGCTTGTGGGTGGAACAACTCTTCTTACTTCCAATGACATGCTTGATTTACTGCTAGGGGATTCAAGTTACATTTAATTCGTTCATCAATTAGATAAAGTAGTAGATAGAAATTAAATTGAATTTGGTTTTGCTAAATCCTGTACGTTGTAACTTTTAACTGTTGTATAGGCAGTTCAAATTGTATTTTCTTTCTTTCCAAAAAGAAAATAGAGAATAATAAATTTTCTTTCAAAATTAGCTTTCAGAAATATAAATCACAGTTCAAGAATTTGGATTAGTTGGCATTCAAGGAAGCATGAAACAATATTGCAGAAGAGCCAGCGCATTGGTGTCCAATATACTTTCAATTAGTATATCTTGAACAATATACTCTTAAGTACTAGTATATCTTGGACAAAATTGAATATGTCTAGACAGTGTCGATCCCTTGCATTTTGATTTCCCAGTGTTACAGCATAAGACATGATGTGGACACGGTTTAATTCAGTAAAAAAGTTGAATGGACCAATATGAGTTGGTATGTGTATGAACTTTTAGATTGAGTAATCTACTCAAAAAATATATTTTTTAAAAATATTATATTATATCAGTTTCTTCAAAATCAAATAGCAAAAATAAAATTATATCAGCTTCTTCTGTTCTTTTGAAACTAAGAAAATTCTTGGTACTTTTAATTTTGTTTTATCTTTCCAACTCCTCTCATTTTCATTGCACAACATTATTAACAACACAAACAAAAACAACTTCTTGATGAGAGAAAATGAAAGAAAATAACGAGAAAACTGTTTCTAAATTCTAAATGCAGAAGTTGCAATGACTGACTTGAGTTTACAAAAATCATGGATATGTATAGCTTGAGAAATTATTGATAAAAGACAAACTGATTAACAGACCAATAGCTAATTAGGACTTCGCTTCTCCAAGTGAGGAAGAGTAAAGTAATCTTACCTGTTTATGACAACATTGACAAAGCATATTCTAACGTAATTCAACATGTTCAGTTTTATATTTGTTACAGATGTAAATCACGTCAAATACACATTTATTGTATTTATACCCTTTCAATAAAAGAAATCACGTTAATTCTTTTAAAATAAATGAAATAGTTAACATGACAAACCATTACATAATCATGTACCAAACCTAAATTAAATTACAAATCACTTACTTCGTAGAGAAGTCGGATTTGATTTCAAATTCTAATTAATAAAAATAAAAAGACTTAATTCATGTAATCAAAAATTACATACACATAAGATTACTTACTTTTTAAACTGAATTACTTATTTTAAAAGAGTCAATCTAATCGGACTAACATGTACTAGTTGTTAACTTGTAATCTGTGATAACCGAACCAACCAAAAGGCACCTATTAGAAGTTTCTGCTTTTCAAAATTCAAACCAATGTGGGTTCCCTCTCTTGTACATAACATTGACTACATAATCAAATTAATACGAACAATGGAAGAATATAGCAAATACAGTATAGTGCATAAGCAGTTATTTGAGGACATTACCCAATAAGACAAGAATTTGTTTTTCCATACAAAAATTAATTTTTAAACAGGTGTTAATGTACCCATTTCGCAAGCTTAAACTTAATCTCCACGGTTAATTTCTAATAACAGGACCAAACAAAAAGTACGTATGAGAAGTCCTTTATTTTTCTTCTCAAAACCCACACTAACCCCATTTCCCAAAACCCCTCTCTTTGAGTCTCACACTACCATGGCGGCACTGAAGGTTCTCCTCTGGCAGGGTCGGCGCCACTCTCTCCCCAAATGCGCTTCCCAATTCTACTCTCTCACCTCTCACCGATCCCTCTCCTCCGAATCAAACTCTAACCCTCCCCGAAGACCCTCCGAACCCATCCCCATTCAACCCGTCTCCTACCCCGTCAAACCCAAACCCTCACCCTCGCCGCCCCAACCCCAATCCTCTCCTTCCGAGCCCCAATCCCTCCGCCCCGCGCCTCCGCCTCCGCCTCCGGACTCTTCGCGCTCGTTGACGCGCCAGGACATCCGCTACATCAAGGACGCGCCGTCGATCGCGCCGGTGGCCTACTCCTCGCGCGTGGCGCCGCTCCCCGACGACATAGATTCCGCTGCGGCGGACGAGGAGGCGGAGAGCGAGGGAAGGAAGATCGAGGCGGAGAATGAGCTGAGGATGAGAATTGCGAAGGCCGCCGAAGAGGAACGGATGAAGGTGCCTTTTCCGCTGCTGATTAAGCCCAAGAAGAACGACAAGCCGCCTCCGCTTGATTTGGCCGATGCCATTCGCCAAGTTAAGGTGAGAAAAACGATTCAAATTTAGATAGTTTGGAGTTTATGTTCGTTTTTGGCTTCTATGAATTCTGTGATGGTTGGCTTGTGTTGCTTATTTAGCATTAGGATAAGAATGCTAGAGTGATGGGTGTATTGTGGTGGAACTTAATTATTGCTTGCTTAATTTGCAAATGCAAACCACAAGTGTGTACTGTACTGCCTAGCAGTTTTGTTTGGGCTTTGGGTAATGCCATGGCTGGATTATTGGTTATGAGAAATAAGTTATTGTATGGGAAATTATATGTGAAACAAGGAGTGTTGGGTCACCTTATAAGTGATGAGAAAGACGTGTATAAAATTTATAAAATATTTTTTGGGAATTTGTGGGTGGCTTAGTAAATTTTATTTGTTTCTAGGCTGTTGGTCTTTGTGGAAGAGCTTGTAGGTTGTCTCTTTAGCTGCCTGTGAGTTACAGCACCTTGTCATTTGGCAATTTGTCGGGAACCAATTGCAGGGTATTGGACTTGAGTCCCACACTGGAAATATGGGATTCTAATGTGAGGTTTATAGGGCCTTTTGGGCTCTCCAAAACTACAGCAGTTAACTTTTGGGATGTGGTTCTCCCAAGGTTCTTATCACCTTCAATACTTGGATTACACATATTAGGGGGGCTGAAACTGAATAGACAAGTCTGTAATTAGGTATGTGATACATCCATGACTGACTGTTGTGAAGAAAAAAGTTGAGGATCTATTGCTATAAATTTCTAAATGCTGCAGCTGCAAATTTTTGATACAGAGATAGAAAACCATGTGTTTCTTATGTGTTCTACTCTGATCCTTGTTAGGGAGACCAATCGAGAGTATAAAAATTGTGATAAGAGTTTAATAGTAACAACTGCTATTTTTTTCTTCTTCTGATTCTGTATGTGTACTCATAGCTGTAAATGTGTTTGCATGCAGTATGCAGGTATATATGTTATAGAAGTATTCTGTAGCACCACCACCCTGCTGATGTTTTTAATTTCAAATATAAATATTTATAATTTGTGACAACTCTATTTGTTCATAGACTCTCACTAACATGTACCATTTTCTCAATAATAAATAGTGCTAAATTGACGAAGTGTTAGGAATTAGGATAGCTAAATGGCTAAATATATTCCCTTATATCTAACTTTTGGTTCCATAGATTGGATTAGCACATCCTTAGTAATGATCTTCACAGCATTTTACCTTGAATGTTCCATCAGTTGTTGTCATTTAATCTAGTTACATTACATGTTTTCCAGGCCAATGCCAAGGCAAAGTTTGATGAAACTGTTGAAGCACATATAAGATTGGGAGTTGATTCAAAGCGTACAGAAATGGTATATATCAATTTTTTCCCTCTTTCCTGTCTTGGATGTGTTTGTGTGCTTTGGGTGATTTGTTAGCATCATATAAATTTTGAATTTGACATGTTGATTTAAGGCTTTGTCACGTTCAATAAATTGATACTTCAGTCATAATACTTGGGAGGCATATGCTTTTTGTAGATCATTGTCCCGTTATTTCTGCTGACTAAAGAAATTGATCCTTGAATCTATATAGCTACCATGTTCTTGAAGACTTGCTCTGTCTACAAGGACTTCAAATTACCTATCCTATATATTTATATATGCATTGAATTGATGGCTAGAGAAATGGGCTCTTATTATTTGATATGTTCATCAAATATGGACATCTCTATGTTCTTCCTTGAAACATGCTGAATAGGATTAACTTTGCTGTGGACTGTGTTTTTATAAATATATAATTTTGTAATTCTGTTTTCTTTAAACTTTTTGTGCTTATACATCCCATATCACTGTTATATACCTTTTTTTCTGGATAAAAATGTCATATGCTGTTTCCTTAATCCTTTGCTTTAAGAAGATAATGATTTCAATTCTGGCAGGCAGTTCGTGGTACTGTGATTCTGCCTCATGGTGCTCCCAAGGTAACTTATGAATGTTAAGCAATTGATATTGATATATTGGTAGGTTTATCATCTAATCATTCATATCTTCCAGGCCGTCAGTGTGGCTGTTTTTGCAGAAGGGGCTGAGGCAGAGGAAGCCAAAGCTGCAGGAGCTGATATAGTTGGTGGTAAAGAGCTGATTGAGGAGATTGCTAGTAATGAACTGTTCTCTTTCTCCAAGTAATTTTATACATCATTTTGATAGATATTTCTCATAATAAATTTATGAAAAAAAAAAAAAAGAAGCAAATGTGCAGATGCATTATGTCCCCTGTCTTGTTGGTTTTATTCTTGTTAGCTACATTTTCATCTCCTGCTGTATGTGCATGCTCACTTCATAATATATGCTTGCTTATATGCGGTTATTTTTTTTCCTTTTTTCTCTTTGTGCACACACCTAAACCTAAACTTATGCTTTCATTTAGGCAAACATGTTACATTAATTTTGTTTTTGATATGATGTGCTTAAGTAACACTTAGTGTCACTCAACTGTGCTGGAAATATTCTAAAATTGTCTTTGGTGCCTTGGCAACTATAATTTTCCCCGTTCGTGCCAGGAATATAAAATTTTTAAACTGTGTTATCCACATCTAACAGAGCTTATATACACTTTTAGGTGGTAAAAATAAGCTCAAAGTTGACAAATGCTTCTCGACTCCAGGAATGGCACCTCATCTTGGAAAGGTATTTTTTTTTTCAAGTTAAATGGTCATATACTTGTAAAATCATCTGAATTAATAGTGTCTTATTCTAAAGTTTATATGAACGGTTTTGCAGATAGCACAATATCTTAGAAAGCGCAGATTGATGCCAGATAAGAAAGTTAGTTTATCAACATTTGATGGCATTCCTTTTTAATGTCTGGGCATAAGTTGATTGAATGTAACTATTGTTTGGTTGTATTAATGTTTTGCAGCTAGGTACTCTTACTAGTGATATTTCTGGGCAGTTGAAAGAGCTAAGACAAGGCCGTGTTGAGTTTAAAATGGAAAGTAAATCAATTTTGCATGTGGGACTTGGAAAGGTACTGTGGTGTTAACTTCCAACTCTTTATATACTTGATTACAAAAGTAATAGGTGTGTTGCATGAGATGTTCTATGCTTTCAATAATGTCCACAGGTAAGCTACAAAGAAGAGGCTTTACGGGAGAATATTGGTGCATTTATGAATGCTGTATTGCTTGCAAAACCTACTGGCTTAAAGAAGAGTAAGTAGCATACATGTCCTTATTCTTTTCTTCCTCTCTCTCTGCTTTGAACAAAAATTGATAAAATGTTAGATCACAACTGGTAACTCGCCCCCTCCCCAAAACAAGCCTATTCGCAACAAAAGTCAGAGTACAGAATATTATTTACAGCGAAAACTTCAAACATGCAATTTTAGGGGATCAATTTCTGCTTTAACTTGGTGTAACTTGATCACGAATTTTATGTGCTAAGGTTACTTTCATTGTCTTACAATTTTCTTCTTTGTTGTTCAGCTTCCAAATATGCTGGGTATGTGTTGTCGGTCCATATAAGCAGCACAGTAAGCTCTTGCATCTCATTCTTGTTTCATTATTCCATGTCGATTTTATGTATTTAAGATTTAAGGTTACCATTTCATTCTTGCATTTCACATTAATGATACTGAAATTTACTATGGGTGTACATATAATTCTCCTTCCCCTATCCTTATATTCCCTTCTGAAAACAGAAAGATGTTAGTAGACTTTGAATTTTGAAATGATGGAACATCTGTAAACAGTTTGCTGATAATAATTAGGCTGGGGGGCATGTTTTAACTATCTAACTTCTCCATTATGGCAGATAGGAAATTATGAAAGGACTTCTGTTTGGAAATGGCCTTCTGTGGAGGATAACGTCTCCACCATGTTTTGGCCTTTTATATATCTGTAGAACAGAACCATAAATGATACAGTGATACACCTTTTTTTGTGATGTTTTGTTGACATCACCCATCAACAACTTGCCCCCTCAGCAAGGAAACATGAATTTAGGAAATGATGGTTGGTCACCTTGTGCACTAAGTATCTCATACATTGGCAAAAGTAATTAACCCCTCAATACAATCCCTTATAGCCTAGTTAGTGTTTTACGAATATTGGTAAAAGGCACTAACAAACTTTGCTATCATTCACTATTTAGGCTACTAATATTGGCAATATTGTTGGTGTTTTACAAAATGCCAATTTCTGTTCAGTATGCGAATACAACACCATCTCCACCTATTGAGAAATTGTTTGGTTGACGGTTGTTATTGTTGTATGCAAATATAACTTCACGGATATTGATAATATTGTTTCAGATATAATCAGGATGCATGTAGTTGCTCTGATTTAGTAGCATCTGATAGAGGCTCGATCAGTAACACATGGTATGGGTTGATCAGAGGCAGTTAGAGACTATATCAGTAACAAATAATGTAGTGAAAATTTCCACGTTTTTATTTGTGGTAAGGTGGTTGCTCAGAGGTAGTTAGATTGATTTAGAGCTGCAATGCAATCAAATTTACCTCTGATGTTTAAAATTTTTTGGGTAAAAAATTGAACTGTGGAGATAACATAATGATTAGATCCCATTCATGGTACAGAAATTGAGTTTAAGAAGTATGTCCATTGAAAGTACTGTGAGGATGCCCTTAGAATTTATGATGAAAATGTAAAGAGAGGGGGTGGGTGTAAACAATTGAACTTTAGTGTAATCTTGTTAGAGATTTTAAGAATATAAGCTGTGGAAAAAGAAAGTGTAACATGAGGCTGAATGGTGGAAAACAACGAGGTAATCCTTATCCTTGTGATATCAGACTCGTGCTAAAGTAGAGCTTATAATTTTTTTTATGCAAAAGTTATACTTCCCAAGCATACAGGTTCATAAAATTACATGATTACGCCTGTTAGTGTGAGGATATAATAATGATGGTTAGTTATTAAGATTTAAGATAGGAGAATCAACGTGGGCAGTGAAGAGAAAGCAATAAGAGGGAAAGTAAAACATGACAGTGAATTGTAAAAAGGGAGAAGTGAAGAAAAACGTAAATTTGCTTGTGGCATTAATTGCAGTGATGATGCACGTTTTCTTGTATGCCTCTTTTAAGTTATTTAGCTATTGCGTTGATGCAGATGGGCCCCGGATTACCTGTATCAATACAATCATTATCTAAAGCAGCAGATAACTACAAGAAAATGCATGTGGTATGAATCATGTGGATTTGGCAGTTGTGGGCTTTTAACATGAATCCAAGTTTAGATGAACATATGTTGTAGGTTTTTGTTCATTACCATTGATTATGTAAGTTTTGTTTACTGATATATGTGCCAATAAGTAAAATTTTTGACATTTTTGTGAGCTTGATAAATTTTCTGATGGCCTTACTGGTGTTTCATGTTCCTCACTGCAACATTGAAAAATGTCTTGCTATATTTATTATTTTAAAGCGATACCGGCTAACCATTTGATGTCTGCATTTAATGGTTCATTTTTTGGCTTTAAACAATGTTATACTGACCATTTACAAACTGATTTTATATAATAACTTTTTAATCAATCATTTACAGCTTGGGTTAACATATTTTTTAAACTTAGAGGTGAATATACAGTATTACTTGAAGTTTCATATTATTGTTCCCTTTAAATGATTCAAGCCCCGGAGGGGGATATTTTATCTCAGGCGTATCTCATCCAAGTGCTGATAAAATAATAAACCACTCACATTTGTTGCGTTTGATTCTAAGTTTGATATGCGGGATGGTAATTTCATTTTTTTTTATATATATATAAATTACATCTTAAAATGTGTTTTCTCATTTCATGTTTACAAGCAAAAGGTTTGGGATGCTTATTTTAGTTGATGCTTATTTAAATAGTGATTTAATGTTTTATGTAATGAATTGAGATTTAATTGCGTTTGAATGCTGCATGTAAGATGTTTAGTGTAACTTGCCGCATGTTGGCATTTAAATGTCAACATACTTTAACCTATCTTTGAGGCCTTGCAATTAATTTAAGGTTAAAAAAGTAATAGCAGTGTTGGACAATAATGACGTTTTAGGAATAGTACGAATGATGTTTCTTTTTGTAACAATTATACTAAGGAATGAATGAATGGAGAAAAAAAATTACGGAGAAGTTATTTTTGAAGAAAAAAAATTGAATTTCACGTCTTTGATAAATAATTTTCGTAATAAACAGCATTTTTTAAAATGTATTTAGACCAAAGTTGATTATATTTTCCATCAATTCTTCAATCAAAGTGGAATGAATGTGGGTCAGGATGGATATACCTATTTTAAATCCTATCATATTCCAATTTCATTTCTAGTTAGAAGTCACTACTTTTCTCACATTTAGCATTTTTAATCTACAAATTAGATTGATTTAAGGTTAGGATTTTATTTTGTAAAATGTGTATATCAATGCTTTTCGGTGTTGCTTCGTTGTGTATACACTTCATTGTGATTTCATATATATTAAATCCTTCTTATGTATAAGATCAACTTGAAATAACTGTCTGTTTTTTTATATAAATTTAATTCATATTATCTTATATATTAATTTTTTTTAGACTAAAATATTTTGTATGTTATCTTAATTTGATAAAATGTATTAATTATGAATTTTTTTTAAAGATATATGTATTCTAATTGGTTATAAAATATGAGTATTAATTAGGAAAGAGAAGTAGTATAAGGGTAATTTTAGAGAGAAAAAAAAGAGATATATAAGTAGGACATATTTATTATTATCAATTAAATTAATTAACTTTCTTAATTATTATATAAGAACATTAATTCTTTAAATACTTATGTGAACTTTTTTATTTTTTTAAAAATAATTTAGGAAGATATTAATATCATCGATTTTAATGCGCTAGAGGAAAATGCCTAACAAGTGGAGCATGTTGAATCGTTTACATGTAATTATTGAAGTATATTTAAGATCTTAATTTGATGATTTATGAGGTCTACATTTAAATACAAACACAACTAATAAATTTTTGTAGTTTGATTGAATGTTTAATTAATACTGACTCATTCGACTCAATTAATAACCTTTTCAGATATGCTCAAGAGTCAAGAGTATCAAAGTGAATTGGCGATGGTTAGGTCGCAAAACAAGCCTATAATATAATAAGATATTAAGACACTTGTTTAGTAACATTAAAACTGTGGCTACGCACCATGAAAATTAAATAAAACCGTGGGCATGTGAATTGGTACACACAAGTTTTTAAAATATCACATTTTTACCCTTTTTTTTCTTACTATTTTATTTTCTTTTTCTACAAAAAGTATGCGCTATTAAAATTAATGAGATTTAATTAATTTTAACTTTTAAAACGTTTTCAACATAGTCTTGGTCATGGGTTATTTATTACATGCTTGACTGCCATTCTTGTAAGATATTTAAGTCACAAATATGAAAAATTAGCACAGCGATTTTATGCGTCATTCATGTTCACTTTCCCATATGTTAATCTATTATATGCTTTGTTAATAAGTATGGTTCTCAAAATTCATATTTTTATCAATAAAAAATAATAATGATAATAATAAAAAGATGGAACATAAATCTTCGTGTATTTATCCTTTACCACTAAAAAATAATAATGATTCTCAAAACTCAATTCAATAGTAAACGAAGTCAATTCAATAACGCCACCGTACTCCATTTGGGCACCATCTCTTTAATGATTTTATACAATTATTGGCATTATTTGATTATTATTTCCCTCTCATTTTTGTTTTCTCTGCGATGTCGATATGTTGTTAGACTACATCGCTGTTAATCACTATATGGTGTTGTATAATTGAATATAATCATGTTCTTTAAATACGCAATTAGAATTTCAATTCATACTTTCATGTTATGAAAGTATATTTGTTCAGAAATATTAATTTCTTAAATAAATTTTAGCACATTAATTTTTGTTTAATTTACTCTCTTAGTCTCAGTTGAAGAATATTCTTAGAAAAAGAAAAGAAAAGAAAAGTGTAGGTGACTATTACAGGTTGGCAACAGAACGAAAAGGGAATACCTACATATATCAATCATGTCGTGATTCATGATCATGGAGACGATATCTAAATAAAATTAAATAAATTATCGCTGAATTTTCATGAAAATGTGTGACTATTAAACATTGAATCCCATTTTTAATCAAATAAGTCAATGAGAATCCATGTTTCAAATTTCATCTGGTTTACTTAGGCGCCGCTGACAAGTTAGTTTATATATGTTTCCTAAGATTAAAACATATACTAACAGAAAAATTAAATAAATAAAAGGTTAACCATTGAGCTTGTTTTCATGGATATAAATTAGCTAACGAATATGTCATATTATTATATGTTTATAGTATATATGCTGCATCTTATTATTAGGTATATCCATAATGTTTGTATTAATATATAGTTCAATACTACTAGACGTATGTATTAGGTATAGATTAACTAGAGCAAAGTTTAATTGGTAATTTTAAGTTTGAAATTTGTTTATGTAATTAGTTATTGTGATGAAAGTTTTCAAAGGCATTAATTTGGTATATATTTTGAATATATCCCATGGGCTAGATTAATCGGAGACATGCATGGGAGCCACGATGATGACACATCCTTATCCAAGTGTTACACATTGCATTATTATTAGCAACCACTAAAACGTGGCTTACAAGTATTTTGTCTAATCATATCTTCCTTTATCAATAAAGTCTTGAGGCAGTTGATAGTTGATACATACATTTTAGTGAGAGTTTTATTTTTTAGTTATCTACATATATAAACAAATATTATATTCACTTTTTCTTCCATCTCATTTTTATTTATTTGTTGTAAATCATTTATTGCATCTATTCAATTATTTTTCTCTTCTTTTTTCCTTGTATCTAAATTTGGGGTGTACGTCCAACTTTTTTGCATGTGAGATATACTCTTATTTCATATAATCATTTCATTTTCAGTAGTGATCACTTTTGAATCTGTAAATTGTTTTCTATTATTTATTATTCAAAATTTTAAGAAAATTTTACTTTTAATAACTTTATTCATTTTTGGTATATTAACTTAATTAATAGGATAGGGGAAGAGTATGAAGTATTTGGTTTTTTTTTTTCTTTCCTCTATTTCTCGTGTGTAATTTTGTAATGATAATTGTTTGAAAATAAAATATAAGATATAAAGTATGAAATAATTAAATTTTCATCCATTCTTTTGTCGGCTCATGATAAATTCAACGAACTTGGATAGTGGGATTCTCATAAAATAAATGATGAAGGAAAAATGGACGCAACAAAACTTAAAGCCAACTGTTTAAGACAACTATGTCTTTGACTAAAACTTCTATCTAAATCAAGTTGATCCTCAAAGCAAAGTTCTCACATACTATTCTACTCTCTAACATGCACTTCTACTAAGTCAATCTATTTTGAGTAAATGAAAACAATTTTTTTAAGATATGGTTATTAAGATACTGATTTCTCAATTATTGATGGTAGAAATGAATGTGTGTTGGGAAAGATTAATTTCTTAAAAAGATTTCGGTACATTGGATTTTTATATCATATTAAGTACCTTTAAATTTTAATAACCTTAATTATATTTTTTTGTTATTTATTTTTTATATTTTTGCAAATTTTATCAGTGAATTTTTATATTTATACATTTTATCATTTCGTGAGTTGATTATTATATGTTGAAGTCGTTAGTTTGTTGTTATGTGATGAATGTGTAAAATTTTTAAAATTGAATAAAAAGTGTGTAATTTTAAAAATTAGATGGAAAAGTTGCAAAAATATAAAGATAGAATGGAAAAATCCAATTAAGCCATTTGAATACGATTTCAAGAAAATTATAAATGCGTAGAAGTTGTGACTTATCACATTCCTTGACATGTAACTTGCATATCGACCTGGTAAAATCTGGTCAAACTGATGATCATTCACATGGGATATTCAAAACACGACAAACTAATGATTATAACTCTGCAATTTTCGTTAATCGGACAGAATTAAAGTTCTACATTTGCAACTACGTTTAGAACTATCGGTTTAAAAAATTTTAAAAAAAATATTTTTTTTTATTAAAATTTATGATAGGATTGAATAAAAAAGTTAAAATAAAAGCATATTAATAATATTTTTTATAATGTTTTTCTTTAAGGATATTTATTAGTACTTCCTTAAAATTATAATATATTTTTTATTCTTTGTTGATGAATACAAACGATAAAAATATTTATAAATATATTTAATTAAGTATTTTAAATTATAATTTAAAATAATTTTATCTTTTAACATAATATTTTTAATTTTAACTTTTATCTCCCATAAAATAAACTTCACACTTAGCTTTATAAAATTAACTTATAAAATAAGAATTATCCCTTTATTTTTATATTTTATTAATATCAAGGTAGTTATTAGATTTCAATTACATACAATAAGGAAAGTTCAATGTAGAGATAATTTAAATCCTATCGAGCGTGCAAAAATTGTGTTGGTATGGAACTAAACCCTAAATACCAATCAATCTAACTATCCTCACATACATAGTTGACTTGAGAAAGGGTTTATGTTCCTTAATTAAGTTCTTAGGGCATTTTCAATGGAAGTAACTCATTTGAATTGTTTCATGCATTGAAAAATAAAAAAAGTGGTCTCTAATGTGCCATGTCAGTATTAAGCAACTCAAACACAAATTTACTCTAATGGTAAGAAACTTTAAGAAATTCAACTTTTAGAATTTTTTTTCTAATCATTTATGAACTAATTTTAAATTTTTATTAAAAAGGATAATTGCACTACAATGAAAGAAAATAAATTATGAGAAAAAATACACAATAAGTAGATATTAAAAATAAAATAAAGCAATAGTAAATACATAGACATTGTACGAAATTAATTTTCATCATTATTATTTCTGAAACCTTCCCAAATATGTTCAATAAGATTTGCTTGAAATTTGGTAAGGAATGGTTGTTTGAGGAAGCAACTCTTTCTTTTCTTCAAGCAACTTATGTTACCACGTCAGAGTCCTCCAATAATAAGAAAGCGGAGCTTGAGTTGCTTCATGGGACAAGCAACTCCCATTGGAGTTGCTCTTAGCCACTTCAAAGAGTTTCCTAGCGGTAGTGATACTAAGGCTTCTATATTACACTGCTCATAAGAAAATGCTATAAAAGAAATTAGGTAAATGACTAAAAAGGATAAAATAAATTGTAAAAAAATGATAAAGGAAACAGTAGATAAACATCTAAATAGCTTGGTTGAATTGATTTGGCCGGAGACCAAAAATGCACCCTTTTTACTATTTATATGGCCAGAAAAACTAGTTGTTTTACTCGAGCAATAAACACTCACTTTCCTCTTTTTTATGAAAGTAGGTTTACATTTTGAACTTCCTACTAACTGCTAAGAATTGTGCGTGCCACCCATTTTGATTTGTTACACTTTCGATATATGCTTTCCGCTTGTATTTTACAGGGACTTATGTAACCAATTTGAGCCTAACTCATTGTTGCATCCACTATTGCAACCTTCAGTCTTCATAGAATAGCTAAATTAGTTATCCATCATCAATTTTACCTAATCTTATTGACTAACATTTTTGGTTCTAACAATTCTGAAGAGAATAATATTATATTTTATTGCATTTATAAAAAAAAATTATATACACATCTTCATTCCTGGGGTTTCTCCTTGATTATATATGGGATATTTAAACTAAAATAGAATCACAATTATACAACAAAATCACAAAGATACAAATCCATTAATTGTGAATCCATATTATATTATAAGTTTGAATAAATTTCGGTAAGTGGAAATTGTGTTAGAGTTTAAATGTAACCTTTCTCAATTGAAAAATGCTAAAAACACGGTTTCTTCTTAAAGCAATAACCCAGAGCTAGCTTGGACTTGCATGGTTAATGAATTTAGATCAAGTCAACTGGTCTTACTATTTTGTCTTTATTTATTTTGCGATTTTTCTTAAAGTAAAGCGCGTTAAGAGCAGACAAGTTTGAAAATTGGAGCAAATCATTTCCTACTTTTTTTTTCTCTTACATCTAACTCTGTCTGCATGCATTATGCAGAAGCACCTTTGTCTCTATATATACCATGCATGCTCAATTCTTCTAAAACCAACTCACACACCCATTACTCAACACAAACACAAGTCATAGCTATAGATATGGCTTCCCTTAACCACTTGTTTGTTGTGGTATCTATCATTCTTTCTCTTCTATCCTTTTCTGGCAATGCACAACTATCTCCCACTTTTTATGCCACAACATGCCCCAACCTTCAAACCATAGTGCGTAGTGCAATGAGGCAAGCCATTGCTAAAGAAGCTCGCCTTGGTGCCTCCATTCTTCGCTTGTTCTTTCATGATTGCTTTGTCAATGTAAACCCTCCCACTTTGCATCATCTATGCATGCCTCACAATTTTTTTTCATACCATAATAACAATATGATTGAATACATTTTAAAAGTTTTTTTTAGAACTTCTCTATCAAAAATAAAAAGTATTTTTCAACATAGAAGTTCTTAAAAGCAATTTTGATAATTTTCACAAAGGGTTTTATTCTTAAGTTGAAATTGTAAGTTTTTTATGGTGTCCCACTAAGAAAATCCTAGTTTTAGTTTTGATTATTTGTTTGTTTAATTTGCAGGGATGTGATGGATCCATCTTATTGGACGACACTGCGACCTTCACGGGGGAGAAAAATGCAGCACCTAACAGAAACTCAGCGAGGGGATTCGAAGTTATTGATACCATTAAAACCAATGTTGAAGCTGCTTGCACTGCCACCGTGTCTTGTGCAGACATTCTAGCACTTGCTGCAAGAGATGGAGTAGTGCTGGTGAGCCAATTAATCTCCATTATTCATTTCACAAACTCTAATTTCATCTATACCAAAATGTTCAATACCCTGTTATAAATGTATATTTTGCATAATTTGTAGCTTAACGTGTGCGTGCATGTAATAATAAAAGGCATTTAAGTAGGGATCTAAGATGAAAAAAGAAGTGGAACGCGTTATTAGAGATTGAATTTGCACACTCATCCCATGATCAGATTCATGTGCCACAACTTAAAGTAATGTTATTTGAGGAAAATGAGCCTAATAAATTCTTTCCTTTTCTGGCAAAGTAATATTAGTGCCTAGTTAGGCCGAATAGAGAATGCAGATATTTTAGTAGGATATTTTAGAATATATAAACTAATTTTTTGATATATTGTAATATTCAGATTTATTTAAAAAATTGAACTTTTTTTAGAAATATTTTTTCATACACATATGTGGAGCTAGCTTTGTAGGCTACGAGTACGACCCCCAATTTTTTTTTCTTTAAAAATGTGTAAAAAAAAAAATTATGCATTATCTTTAAATAATTTAAAATTATGTATTTAAGTATTTTGTGCTTTTGAAGATATTTGAGTAAAGATATTTGGGTAAGATTCGGCTATGCATATCAAAATGGAATATTTCATCACATGCTTAGAAGACTTGTATGACAATTATGAATTATGTGATGAATGCAAGTTGAAGTGAGGCAAGTGTTGATGTTGGTTCCTTTATTTGCATTTCCTTGGGCATGCATGAGTCTATTTTCAAAGCATGTCCCCCACTTTCGGTTTCACTTTTCCACCCTAATCCATCATCATGCAACGTAGCGGGCCATCCAATAATATCATGCAAAACATACACATTAAACAAAACAAATTAAAAAAAAAAACTAGTTAATAATTAGAAACACTTTTTTGATGATGAATTTGCAGCTAGGTGGGCCCTCATGGACAGTTCCTCTGGGCAGAAGAGACGCAAGAAGCGCGAGCCAGAGTGGTGCCAACACCCAAATCCCTTCCCCCTTCTCCGACCTCTCCACTCTCATCTCCATGTTTAGGGCCAAGGGCCTGGGCCCACGCGATCTCACCGCCCTCTCGGGGGCCCACACCATAGGGCAGGCCCAGTGCCAGTTCTTCCGAAGCCGCATATACAACGACACCAACATCGACGCCACCTTCGCCGCCGCCAGGAGGGCCACCTGCCCCGCCACCGGCGCCGACGCCACCCTCGCCCCGCTCGACAGCCTCACCCCCACGCGCTTCGACAATGGGTACTACGCCGACCTGGTGAACCGGCGCGGGCTTCTCCACTCCGATCAAGTGCTCTTCAACGGTGGGTCCCAGGACGCGGTTGTGAGAAGCTATGGGGCGGGCAATGCTGCGTTTTTTAGAGACTTTGCTGCTTCGATGGTGAAGTTGGGTAATATCACCCCTCTCACTGGGACCAGTGGTGAGATTAGGAAGAATTGCAGGCTTCTCAACTCATCCTGATAATGTCTAATGCTGCTTTTCTGTTGCCTTTTTTCTGCAAGTGCTCATTGTGACGCCCATAAGAGACCCATCACTTCCAATAATTTAAATTAGTTTATATAAAATTAGAGATAAAAGCAATTATTAAAAAAGGTCTCATCTTTCTCTAATTATTTAAAATATTAAGTTGTGATTTATCAAATAAATAAATAAAAGTCAAATAGAAACTTTTTTTTTTCATAAAAATAAAAGAAATTATAAAGGTCTTTGTAACGAGGATTGAACCTAGATTATCATGGATCTTACTATCTTAATCTCTTCACATCTAACTATTAGGTTAACCTTGGTGATTGAAATTAATTTATTTAAACACCAACTTGTGATAAATTAATTTGAGTAAATTATTGAAAAAAATTTAAATCTTATATTAATTAAAAATATATAAATAAAGAGTAATTTTTACCTTATAAACTAATTTTATAAAATTAAATTAAGTTTGATTAAAATAAAGTACATGTATAGGTGCTACATTTCAAAAATTAAATATTTCTCTTTGCATAACAAATAAATCACGTCAAATAACTAAAAAATACAAAAGTCACGAGTCAGGAATTTCTATATTGAAATAGAAAACAACATGATTAAGTGTGTGTTTGGTTTAGATTTTTAACGTGATAAATCACGTTAAAATGGAAGCTATCAGTTATAACTTTTACGTTTTAAACGTGATTTTTGCTCTGAATCACGTTTTGGACGTGTAACTAAACATGCACTAACACTTGAACAAACACGTCATAACACTTATCTATTCTATCTCTTTCTTCCTATCCATCATATTATTGAACATATTCCTCTATTCTTTTTCTATTTCTTATTAGGAGTGGTCATTTATAAAAGTCTTTTTTTTACAATATTATCTAACTATAAACTATCACGCGTCAATGATAAAATTATTAGGTTTTATATTAATTGATGGATTGGTTGACCACGTAGAAATTTTCATTTGTCAACTCTTTGATGTTGTTTGCTTCAATATTTTGAACTACGCGGCGCAAATTTTGTATCGTTGAAGCTACAAGTCACAAGACTCGATCAAGTTGTTTATATATACACAAAAGTTAGGGTGAGCTTTGAATTCGTATACTTTGTTGACTTCTTATGATTTCAATTAAATGCTTTTTCACTTTGGTTGCCTTTAAAGGATATTCTGATTGCAGCCACTAAAAAGAAAAGAGAAAGCTTACACTGTTCAATTACTTTCACATCATCACGTCTAGATTATGATTCTAGCATCCAAAGCTAGCTACTAGCAGCACTAAAAGGTTTATTAATTTATTTATTTAATATGAAGATATAATTCTTTCATACTCAACTCCTATAAGATTAAAGTGATAATACTTCCAATCGTGACTCTAGTAATAATAACATGTCTTATTAATTTGTTGAATAAAAGCAAAAGTAGCTAGCAGGTTTCTGGAATTCTCAGCTTCTAAAAAATCTATATATGATTGCCAAGTGTTACATTTTGGGTTATGTAATGTGAAAGTAAATTTAATTGAAGGCTATGGTATGTCATGCCAATACATTAAAATTTAAAATAAAATGAGAAATTAAGCTATATATATTATCAACGAATTGTTCTACCCTATATGTTTCTTTGGCTAGAGAGTCGAACCTAGACCCCACTTTTGTCAAAGGGTCATTTTAATTTCTTTTCTTTATGGTTATTGGAAAAAAAAAATTGTGTATCTCCATTCTGCTTCTTTGTCCATTTCTACTTTTCGTATACTTTTGTTAGTTTGGTTATTACTGCTGCTTTATTTGTTTAGCAGAAAGCAGAGGCATACCATGAAAATGGGAAAGACAGTGTCTGCCAAATTTTTTATTTTGTATTCATTTCAAATTTTTCTTTGTCGTGAGTGTTGTCATGACATGAGCAACTATTGACCCAAATACAGTTTTTTCTCTTCACATGATTACATGATTACAATAATTAAAGGGTTTAACGATGATACACAATGATGTAAAATAATTTTACATAAACATTTAATGACAATTCATTATAAATGATACTCTCTATTGTTTATTATATGAAAAAATTTAATTTTATGCATATTATGAAAATTAGTTATTTATATTAAATTTGATTAATCGTATAATATTTTTTCCAAATTATTTTTGTTATAAATGTAAAAAATAAAATGTTGCAACTAAAATATCATATTTGAGAGGGTATAATTAAATATTGAGTAATTAAAATTTGAGATACAAAATCACAAAACTGCAGTAATTACCGAATTAAAAGTGGTTAAAGCTAAACTTTAAATATATCAAGCTGTTCCTTTCATTTAATGCCATTTCCTTTTTTATTTCTTAATTAAGTTAACAATCCATAAACAAAGCCATTAATATATGTAGGACAACGCTTTCATTTTGAATACATTTTTTTCTTCGAGACGTGTTAATCAACTTTTAAAAAATATAAAAAATAAATAAAAATTCAAAGCTGTTGAAACTCAACCATATGGTATTTCAAAGGAAGTGAAAATGATAAGAATGTACCGTCAACTCTGACACCTTTTTTCCCCAAACATATTATTTTATTATTTAAAACTTATTAAAATTATAAAATTAATAAACAGACACATTAAATAAAAGAAGAACCCACAAAAAATTATAATTTTTAGTTAATAATAAAAGCTTAGTTAAAAATGAATATGTTTCTCTCCACAGAATTGTACATGAATGCTTTTTAGATTTTTAGTTAATATTTGAAGTATTAAATAAAAAATATTATACATCTTTTAACGTTATTAAATATTAAATATATTGATAATCAAAAGTCAAAATACTAATTAAGAACAATAAATATAAAAAATACTTTGGAAGCACCTTACGTTTGAAATTCTCTGAATGAACTAGAGTTTCTTTTCTTGTTACGTTTGTATTGTATTTACAAGCACGGTATCTATAACAGTTACGATGCATTGCATGCAACGCAAGTACGTAACATTATACGAACATCGAAGGAGCTTCGGTTACCCTGCACCTCACCACACCGGATCACAGGTCCATGTCAATGCCATCACGATCACCGCACGCACCATCTGACGGCTGTGATTCGCGCGTGTCCCCAATCTCCCTAAAGTCGCGTGAGTTCACTCTCTTTCTCTCTCTCCTTGAACAAAATGGAGAGAGCAAGAGAGAGAGAAAAGAAAAACGAAGAAAAGGAATAGAGAGAGAAACGGAGAAGAGTGTTTCTCACATCACATGGCCTCCATGCCCTTGGGGCACCACCACCACCACCAAACGGCGGCGGCGCCGTCTACGCAGTTGCTCGCGCAACCCGAAGTGGCTCGCCGGAGCTCCGATATGGAGACCGATAAGGTACTTCCGCTCATTGCACTCATCCAACCCTTCTCTCTCGCTTTGTTCAACTTTTTAGTTGGTTCCGACTTTCCCTAGCTCCGATCGCCTTCGATTCACCTCGGAAAGCTTCGGTGTAACCGGAGCTTCGAGCGATCTACGGGTTTTATGTGTTCGCCGGAGATTATTCTCCGGCAACGCCGCTGATCGGAGTGATTTTAATGTTTTCTCGGAGAGCGATGATTATTTTCCTTGACGAATAACAAAAATAGTAATAAGAAAGTTAGGTTTTACTATTTTGGTGTGTATTTTGGTTGATGCTTTTATGGTAGAGATCTTAATGCTGAAGAAAATTGAAGCTAGCGAGATTTTCTGTGCTTTTTTGGCGTTGGAGAAAAGGAAAGGAATCAATATAAGGAAGTGAAAATGTGGAATCCTGTGCTTCAATTTCTTTTTGTTTCGTTTAATTTAAAGATAGAGATTCTGAATAGGTGTAGTTAGCTGACCTGAGAAAACATTCTGAAATTTTCGCGCCTATAGTAATTAATAGGTTTTTGGTATATGTAACAATTATCTTTTAGAATATAGACCATTTATTTTTTAGGTCATGTTTCTTTCACTTATCTCTAATCTACTGTTTATTGTCTTTAGCTATGTTAATTCTGTATTATTATCTGATCTATTATTGGAGTATAGTTTTTGTTTTGATTTTTTTTGTGCGTGTTTGATTTCTCGTTCTTCCTTGTGGTGGATTGTTGTGCAAAAGTTCAAACTGTTCTAGTTTGCTTTGCTTCAGGGAATTAGCGTCCTTAGATTCTCTTTTTATAGTGTCTTAAGCTATATGAAAGCTTTATGCTTTCTTGTGAGCTGCGGTAACCTGATTTAACTTTAGCTGCTGCGTGTGCTCTTTGAGCCCTTTACCTTTATCTTTCTTCAACTTCACATTCTGATATTTGGCTGATTTCTTTTGGTATCCCTCAGGTGCTTATGTTCCATTTGCTGTGCAATTTTCTTCTCGTTTAACACTTGTTTTAACCAATGGACTATCTTGAGATACTACACTTTCTTTCTTATGTTTGTACCTTCTCAAATTAACTTCACCGTGTATGTGCAGTTCGTTAGTGGCTTTGCCACGGTATGCATATGATACATGATAGGCACATGGCGTTGCCTTGTTTTGTGAATATGTTCCTAAACCAAATTATTGATGACAATTTCTATAAAGCTAAATTTAGAAGTTACTTAAATGAATGAACAAGTTATGATTGATATTGTATCAATAAAAGTCTGACATTTAAATTCAAGTATTGTATTAGGAGCTTTGCTTTACAGCATTAAATATCTATTTCTTGTTATAACTTGCAGGATATGTCAGCTACTATCATTGAGGGGAATGATGCCGTCACTGGCCACATAATCTCCACCACAATTGGAGGCAAGAATGGGGAACCTAAACAGGTGCGGATGTGTTCTAACCCCTTTCCTTCTCAACTTTCAAGTTTTAGTGGAAAATTCATTTCATACCCTCTTGAATTGTGTGTTTTTGTATATTTGTATTATTGTATATAATGATCACGAGTATTGTTTAGACATCGATTCACTTTTTGATGGAAATATAACTGAACAACAGTTAGGGGCAGAGAATCAAAATTAATAAATTGCACATTATATAAGGCTTTCCAAAATTATAATACTGATTATCAATCAGAGGTTGGCTTATTTCCCCAGTGCCTACTGCCTACCTCATCTGATAATTTTTTATTCACCAACTATATTTTAGGTCTTACAAGATGTATACTTTTGAAG